AGCTGACATTGTCATATTCGCTACTGATAGTAGGGACAGTGGAGATGGGTGCCCATTGTACTGAGAGAAAATACAAACTTATTATTAAATTAATTATAATTCATTTTATATCTATTATTATTATTAATTATTATTATTATTATTATTATTATTATTATTACTATTATTATTATTGTTACTAGAGACGATTTTGTAGTTTAAGCGTCTTTGTTTGACACGTATAAAAATTTTACAAATCTAATATTACTATCATTATTCTGTGATCGTCAACTTTATCTATTGATCAATACGATTATTATTATTAATACCAATAATTATTATTAATACCAATAGTTATTATTATACCAATAATTATTATTTCAAAATAATGACAATAAAAACTGAGTTTATTAAACATGATACAAATACACTAATAACTTTTTATATACAAGTTTTCCATGATATGACAATTACTTAATAAATAAAACAAAAATACAGCAGGAGTAGTTAGGGTGATCTGATTGGTCGGCGACGATGTCATACGTGAAAACTCTCGCCACACCCACAAGTGCCTTTGACGTTAGGATTATGAAATATGAATTCACTGCCGAGTTTATTTTCAACAAAGTCCATCTCAGTACCAAGCAATGATAACTGAGCCTTTGAATCTATTAGTACTCTAGCACCTAAAATAATCATAATTGCACAAATAAAATGAAATGAGTATTTATAATATTGATGTCCTTGTGCTAAAGTTTGAGCTGATTTCAACAAAAAAATTTTAAGTTATGAGCATTTTAAAAATAAACCAACAGCAAAGGCTATGATAGCCCATGATTTTTTCCAAAAAAATGGCTCTGGAATCACTCCCAATTTTTATTACATTTTCTGATACACATTGATGTCCTTATGCTGTGTAGAAAGTTTAAGTTGATTCCGACTTCAATTTTTCAAGTTACGACCATTTTAAGAAAACACCAAAATTCTGAAAAGTACCCAAGGCTATAGCCCATGGTTTTTTCCAAAAAATGGCTAAAAAATGACCCCCAATTTTTATTACATTTTCTGATACATATTGATGTCCTTATGCTGTGTAGAAAGTTTGAGCTGATTCCAACTTCTATTTTTTGACTTATGACCATTTTAAGAAAATGCCAAAAATTATGAAAAGTACCCAAGACTATAGCCCATGGTTTTTTCAAAAAAATGGCTCCGAAATAACCCACAATTTTTATTACATTTTCTGATACACATTGATGTCCTTATGCTATGTAAAAAGTTTGAGTTGATTCTGATTAATATTTTTCAAGTTATAGCTAAACTAATAATTAATATACTGTTGATATATGCTACGTATGATAATAATTTTGAGTGGATTCCAACTACGTGTTACAAGCCTCAGTAACAAGTAATGAATATCATTATAGCCCGACCCCAGTAAAGGATGAGGGATGCACTCAAAATGATAGTGACAATCAAGCAATAATTTTTGAATGGGCAATTCACTGCAATTGCCCTGCTCTAATTACATAATGATTTACCATCTTGAACAACTTCTTCATCCATTTTCTTCTTCTCAGTAGCATAGTCCAGTGTGTACGTTAATCCACTGCAGCCTCTTGTCCTCACTCCCACTCTTAGTCCTATCTATAAACAAAAGGGACATTAATTGAAACACTCAATAAAGTCTTACTGCTGTAGTGTTTTCTGATAAAAGTTCTTTCACTTTGCTGACAGCAGAAGGAGTCTATAAAGACAAAAAAAGTTACCATATCAACAGTTAATGGTATTTCCTACTAGTTTGATGGCTGCTCTTTGAGGCACAAACTTTCTACTAGACTTTACAGCCCTGATTACTGTTGATGACACCATACCGGACGCCATTTTGTTTTGACTCCGCCTCAAAAACATCACGTGATTTTAACCACACCTTCTTTAACTCAGCACGTGGTTTTAGTACACGTCAGGACACTATCTCCGTGTTTGTAGGTGTGGTCTAATTAACATGGCGGATTATGCAGAAATGGACAATGACTTGCTTGATAAAATCCTGTACAGTTTAGATGAAATACAGTAAGAGAAGCAGCAGGGATACCTCATAAATTATAATATATTTATTAGTTGCAGGGGCCCATTGCTGGAGGAGGTAGAAGGGAAGGATGGAACTCAAACTGGTCTAGAGATAGCCATTGCCAGTGGATTGAAGGACAGGAATTATGTCCAGCTGGTAATGTGTTTAACATCAGAACTGAAGGAGCTACTTAAATTGAATGAAACTGTCACTGAACCATCTGGTAAATAAATAATAGTAATTAAATAATCTGTTGTTTTTTAATTGAGTTTTTGACTGATACTGCATTATTATTATTATTATTATTATTATTATTATTATGATAGAATAATAATAATAATAATAATGATAATAATAATAATAATAATAATAATAATAATAATAATAATAATAATAATAATAATGATAATAATAATAATAATAATAATAATAATATTGATCAAACAACCAGTTGCAAAAACAATTATTTATTATTATTATTATTATTTATTTATTTATTTATTTATTAGGTCCTGATGATTCTGAGTCATTCCATCTTGAGTTAAGGTCGTTCCTCAACGAATTAAAATGCTACCATGAGACACTAGTAACTGATCTAGCTGCTTTTAACGAGCCTCGTAACAGACTCATTCTGATTGGTCAGTTTTTAATTAATTAGGTGGGCGTGTACCTTATTAATAGATTATTTATTATCCGAGCTGATGACGGCTCGACTGTTGAAAGTAAAAATAGAAGAATCTACTGAATATAAAAGAAATAATTTTGAAGTAAGAAGAGCTGTGGACTACCAGCCATTTTAATTATTATATTTCCTAGTCTAATCCTTACGACGTTCAATCTAATCTGTCAGCCATTTTGAATGTTTTTGGTGTTGATACTCCGCCTCCTCACGTCACGCCTACCATGATACTTGATAAAATAATAAAAAAAGTAAAAATATATTCTCCTCCTCCACCTACACGTCATATGACTATCACATGATAGACTCAAGAACACATTTCAAAGGCCCCTGCTGGGTTCATTGGTAAGCCACTGGTGCTACAACCGCTGAGTGCTGAACAATGGGGGACACTGGACCGTATCAACGAGGCTTTGTTGAAAGAATATTCTGTTAGGAGACAGATGTTATTGACTAGGTGTAGCGTAACTGTCCAGTCTTTTAAATGGTCTGATAGAACCAAGGTGAGCTACCTCAGGGAAGAGAACACAGTATTGACACACAGCTGCTTTACTTATATTAGAGTACTTGTAAATGTAATGCAAGGTTTTATGTATTTATACAGTAGATGATGATAATTGTGTTATAAAAAAATATACAAATCCTTCCTTCAAAAGCATAGACTAAAGGCTTGAACAATGTAAAAAAAGATATGGCTGCCTAGCTTAGCATTTGCTGCACGGTTATGCAGCCCTTTCCCTTTACCTTTGTATATGTATGAAGTTAAGGTGGTGTTGCATAGTGTTTGTTCATTGCTGTAGGGTAAGGATGAATGAATGAATCATTTACCAGTGTCTATCAATACTATTACTTATACTAAAGTACTTGTAATTGTAATGCAAGATTCTACTATACACATGTCACATACATATAGTTATACAGTAGATGATGATAATTGTGTAGAGAGTGTTTGTTATTGTTCATGGTTTTAGGGTAAGGATGAGTCATTTACTAGTGTCTATCAATCAAAATGGACTCCATTGAAGGAAAAGGCTCCAATACCAATAGCTAGAGTACTAGCTGCTAAAAATGGTATAATTATTATTACATGAAGTACTAATACATGTACAGTGTATAATATGTACATTATTTTATTGTGCTATTCTATTTATAGATTTATTGAGTATTGAAAGGACCAGTAGTGGCTCCGTTAGACAGAACACAGTCTCCGATATTAACAAGGTTTTGATTGGCTCCGTTCCTGACAGAGGGGGCAGACCAAATGAGACACGCCCACCACCTGAAATGCCTTCGTTCAAGCAACGGACTGAAGCACCAAGAGAGAAGAGAGACGGAGGTTACAAGAGAGTGAGAAAAGAGAGAAATATATAATTATCATTTTACAGGTGGCGGTAGAGGGGGGCGGGGTAGTGGAGGAGGAAGAGGTGGGCGTGTCCAAGGAGGTAAGGAAGTCTTGAAAGGATATTGTAAAACCTGTTATAAATACAGGTTGGTCGAAAGGAGGTGGAGACAATTACCAACGAAGTTATTCTGTAGACAGCTATGGTGGTCATTGGGGAGGGGGAGGAGAAAGGGGTCGAGCTTATGATGGGAGCTATGGAGGATTCCACGGAGCAAGCTATGGCTCCTAATTATGGATATGATAATTATTCAGGAACCTACGGGAACTATGGGGGAGGAGGGGGAGGGTATCAAAGAGGGTACTCGTATGAGGATAGAGGACCAGGTGGTGGCGGTCAGCATGGTAGGAGAGGAGGGCGGGGTTATCAGCACCAGCACAGCAACTATTATTAATAATAATAATTTGTAATTTAGTTATTACTGATGACATTAGTGCATGATTATTAAAGATTATGTTTTGCATTAATTTTGTTGTTCATAGTATCTCAGGTAATCTTGTTCTTATGATAGTGACCACAGTCACCACATCCATATGTTATCATAACAGTCACATGCTATGTTCACCCTCTGTAGCATATATGATGGCATGGTTCTCAAAAGATGAGCTTTCATTCGTTAAGGAAGTACCTGATCAAATCGACATAGAGTGTCCAGTTTGTCTTCATATCTTGACAGATCCTTACCAGGTGAGCTGCTGTGGTAGAAATTTCTGCAAGTCTTGTATTGAGAGGATAAAGGATAGTGATGGATCCTGTCCTATGTGTAAAGAGGAGACGTACCAATCCTTTGCAGATAAAAATATCGGTCGTATAATTAACGGGTTACAAGTCTATTGTACCAATAAGGAGAAAGGTTGTCAATGGAAAGGAGATTTGAAGTATCTACCCACTCACCTTAGTAAAGGGAAGAGAGAAGGAGAATGTCAATATGAAGAGGTCGAATGTCGATATGACGAGTGTCTAACAAGAGATCAACGTCAGCATCTTAACGTTCACGAGGAGGAGTGGTGCGACCAACGACCGTACAGTTGTGAGCATTGCTATGAGGAAGGTACATATTCATTTATTATTATATTCCATGTGGAAGTTTGCTCAAAGTATCCTACAAAATGCCCCAACGATTGTACAAGTTCTGTTATGCCTCGAGAAAGTGTTCCTGATCATTGGACCCAGTGTCCATTGGAGCCAGTAGATTGTGTGTTTAGTTGGGCTGGTTGTAATGATAAGCCATTACGTAAAGATGTAGATAAACACACTGCTGCTATTGAACACATGACACTATTAGCTGTAGCTTGTGGACAATTGAAGAAAGAAAATGAACAAATAAAAAAAGAAAATGAGAGAATAAAAGAAGAAATGATGGAAGAAATCAAGAAATTACAAGAAGAAAATGAAAAAACAAAAGAAGTGAATACCCAAACACTGTCTTATCTTGGTGTCATTAACAATGATACACATCCTATTCTACCAGTCACAGTTAGTAGAAGTGGTGATGTTGTTCATTTCTATACTGAGGTTGGTGGTCATCACATGTCAGCCGCCTATCTTCAACCAACACTCTACCTTGCGTTTCATGATGGAAAGTTTGATAAACTCCGTGCATTTTCCCAGCCTAAAATTCTATTAAAATATGATAGTGATGATGCACAACCTGTACAGATAAAGTCTTATAGAAAGGTAGATGATAATATTCTCACACAGGCAGTAACGGAACCTTCAAAAAGACAAGATGATGGACTAACTTCCATACATATTGTTAATGTCATCAGCATTAATATTACACTTACTTCTTCTAATGAAGTCACTGTGATAGTGACGCGAATGTCCAAACTCAGATATCAGTCCGTAAGGTTTTAGTTGTGTTTGGCATGGCGAAGGAACATAGCCCCTCAATGTTTTAGTTACATTAGTATTTTTATTATCATGTGTGCTTATTTTTGTTTTTTTATTAGATAGTATACCAATTATGTGAACAGTTTTGGCTTATGTATGTAACCGGGCATGCATGATAATCCTAGGCCCTACCCAGTACTTTGATCACTTGAGAAAATCAAAATATTATCTCAAGTGATCAAAATTAATGATTAAGCCTTAAGGTAAGGGCCTGCAATCAAGTGCAATGCTGTTTGAATCTACACTTGCAATGCTGTCTGAACTGATGCACATCAAGTGATTCCAGGATCTTGCGTCTATGATGCTCAGATGAATCTTGCCCCTCCCCCCACAAACAATAATTATTGTTCCGTTGCCTTCGTTATTAACTTATTCATATCGTATTATGTATTATGGCATATCGATATCCGAGGGCATATCAGGGCGAGTATCAGAGTCTTTTTAGTTTTGATGATGATACTTTTCTTAACACTACCTTTCTTGGAGAAGAGTTGGAAGTAGAAGAAGCGTCGGAAGAAGAAGATGAGTCGGAAGAAGATGAATCGGAAGAAGATGACTGTGAAAGATTAAGAGACTATGAAAGGGGTGGGCCCAAGACTACACCATCACCAGAAATAATATCAAAAGATGAGCTTTCATTCGTAGAAGAGGTGCCTAAACAAATTGAGATAGAGTGTCCAGTTTGTCTTAATATCTTGACAAATCCACACCAGGTGAGCTGCTGTGGTAAAAATTTTTGTGGGTCTTGTATTGAGAGAGTAAAGGATAATAATGGATCCTGTCCCATGTGCAATCATTCGAAATATCAATCGTTTCCAGATAAGAACGTCTCTCGTATCGTTAATGGGTTACGAGTCTATTGTACTAATAAGAAGAAAGGATGTCAATGGAAAGGAGACTTGAAGGATCTACTTATTCATCTTAAGAAAGGGAAGAGAGAAGGAGAATGTCAGTTTGAAGAAGTAAAGTGTCAATACGATAAATGCCAAACAAAGGATCAACGTCAGAATCTCCTTATTCATGAAAAGGATGACTGCAATGAACGACCGTATAAGTGTGAGCATTGTGCTATAACACATAGCTATACTTTTATCATTGGAGAGCATTTAAAAACCTGCCGAAAGTACCCTACAAAATGCCCTAATGACTGTTCCAAAGTAATACCGAAAGAAAGTGTTCCTGATCATTTGACCCAGTGTCCATTGCAGCCAGTAGATTGTGAGTTTAGTTGGGCTGGTTGTAATGATAAGCCATTACGTAAAGATGTAGATGAGCACACTAATGATACTAAACACATGACACTATTAGCTGTAGCTTGTGGACAGTTGAAGAAAGAAAATGCTCGAATGTTTGCTTTTCTTGGTGTCATTAACAATGATACATATCCTATTCTACCAGTCACAGTTAGTAGACGTGATGATGTTGTTCACTTTTATACTGAGCTTGGTGGTCATCACATGTCAGCAGTTCTAACTCGTTCATATGAAGGAATGTCATTACTACTTGCATTTCATGAAGGAAAGTTTGATGGACTCTGCACACTTGACTATCTAAAAGTTTTTATGTTACTTGATTCTGGTGATGCAAAACCTGTGCCAATACGGTCACACAAAAAGTTGGCACATGATGTTCTTGGTCTGCCATTGCATCAGCACAGCATACGTCAGGGCAGCTACAAAGGGCGGGCCTCACGTGAGACTAGCCATCATAGACCACGTAGAATACCAGATGATGAAGCATCAATTTGTTTACAGGTCTCCCTCAGCTCCATCAAGTTAATAAACATCATTCTTACTTCTCCTAATGAAGTCACAATTGTTTTTTCGAAATGAAGTTTGGATTTTTGTAGATATGCACTGTTTGAAAAAAAAGAATTAAACAATTTTTTGAACAAATCCTGATGTCATGATTTGTTCAATGATTCTGACATTGATAGACTTTATGTTTCTTCAATTGGTATTATAAGAAAAACATTCCTGTTATCATAACTGTCACATGATATCTTTTGTTTGTTTAGCAATGGCACGATTCTTGAAAGAGGATCTTTTATTTGCTGAAGAACTCAAAGTACCTGCTCAAATTGAAATTGAGTGTCCAGTTTGTCTTCATATATTGACAGATCCTCATCAGGTGAGCTGCTGTGGTAGAACTCTCTGTAAGTCTTGTATTGAGAGAGCAAGAGCTAGTAATGGATCCTGTCCTATGTGTAAAGAGGGCATGGAGGAGAGGTTTCGATACTCCGTAGATAAGGATTGCCTTCATTTTGTTAATTTTTCGTTACAAGTCTATTGTACTAATAAACCGAAGGGATGTGAATGGAAAGGAAATTTGAGGGATCTATCTACTCACCTTAGTAAAGAGAAGAGAGGAGATTGTCTATTTGAAGAGGTCAAATGTCGATATGAGTGTCAAACAAAGGATCAGCGTCGAAAGCTCGTTATTCATGAAAAGGATGACTGCAACGAACGACCTTACAAGTGTGAGCACTGTGCTTTAGAAGATAGATACATCCTTATTACCGGAGATCATTTAAACACCTGCCCAAAGTATCCTATTACATGCCCCAACAATTGTGCCCAGAAAGTACCACGTGAAAGTATTTCTGATCATTTAAAGAAGTGTCCATTAGAGCCAGTAGATTGTGTGTTTAGTTGGGCTGGTTGTAATGATAAGCCATTACGTAAAGATATAGATGACCACACTGCTGATACTAAACACATGACACTATTAGCTGTAGCTTATGGACAATTGAAGAAAGAAAATGAACAAATAAAAGAAGAAATGAAAAAAGAAAATGAAAAAATAAAAGAAAAAATGATGAAAGAAATTGAGAAAATACAAGAAAAAACGACAAAAGAAATCAAGAAAGCAAAAGAAGAAATGAAGGAAAAAAATGAGAAAATAGAAAAAAAAGTGACAAAAGAAAACGAGGAAAAGGAAAGAATAAATGCCCGATTGCTTTCTTGTCTTGGTGTCATCAACTGCGATGCAATTCCTGCTTTACCAATTAGAATTTATGGTAGAGCTCAACATTTCTATACTGAAGTTGGTGGTCATCATATGTCAGCAGCTTGTCTTAAATCTGGAAAAATTGGCCTTGCATTTCATGAAGGAAAGTTTGACGGACTCAGTTGTGCACTTGGCCATCCAAAAATTTTTTGGCAAGATTATCCTTATTTACCAGGCCTAGGAAAGTGTGTGGGATACTCATATCGAAAGTTAGGCAATGATGTACTCGATCAAGCCCCACTGCATTCGCAATCTTCAGCGCTTGAAATTGTTGGAGAATGGGTACAAAGTATATTTGGATCAGATCCATCAGGACCAATTTTAATAAATGTCTCCTGCAAATATTTTGACATTGCTCTTACTTCTCCAAATGAAGTCACAATTGTTGCTCATTATAGTTAGTTTTAATAACAGTTTTTAGAGGTAGCATTTTATATAGTGTTTTATAGGTCTAGAAGTAATATTTTATTTAGAATGATTTAGGCATTAGGAGAGCACCAATAATGTGTGACTGTGAACACAAGTATTACTAATAATGTTGTTTTTTTGCATAACTTAAAAGGAGAGAGGGAGGGGAATAGATGTATGATGAATAGAATAGATGAACATGAGTAAGACATATAATAGATCATGTATCTCCACCCTTTCAATTGGGTGGGGCTGGTTTGTTTTGCTAGCTTTTCAATGGAGAGATATTCAAAAGATGAGCTTTCATTCGTTAAGGAAGTACCTGATCAAATCGAAATCGAATGTCCAGTTTGTCTTCATATCTTTACAGATCCTCATCAGGTGAGCTGCTGTGGTAGAAATTTTTGTCAGTCTTGTATTGAGAGGATAAAAGCTAGTAATGGATCCTGTCCTATGTGTAAAGAGGAGAGGTATCAATTCTTTGAGGATAAAAATATTAGTCGAATCATTAACGGGTTACAAGTCTATTGTACCAATAAGGCGAAAGGTTGTCAATGGAAAGGAGATTTGAAGTATCTACCCACTCACCTTAGTAAAGAGATGAGAGAAGGAGATTGTCAATTTGAAAAGGTCAAGTGTCGCTATGACAAGTGTCGAATTAGAAATCAACGTCAGCATCTTAACATTCATGAGAAAGCAGTGTGCGACCAACGACCATACAGTTGTGAGCATTGCTATGCAGAAGGTACATATTTATCTATTACCTTCTTGCATATAAAAGTTTGCTCAAAGTATCCTACAAAATGCCCCAATAGTTGTGCAAGTTCTGTTATGCCTCGAGATAGTGTTCCTGATCATTTGACCCAGTGTCCATTAGAGCCAGTAGATTGTGTGTTTAGTTGGGCTGGTTGTAATGATAAGCCATTACGTAAAGATGTACAAGTACACACTGCTGATACTAAACACATGACACTATTAGCTGTAGCTTGTGGACAATTGAAGAAAGAAAATGAGCAAATAAAAGAAAAAATGACAAAAGAAATCGAAAAATTAAAAGAAGAAAATGAAAAAACAAAAGAACGAACATTGTCTTATCTTGGTGTCATTAACTATGATTCACATCCTATTCTACCAGTCACAGTTAGTAGACATGGTGATGTTGTTCATTTTTATACTGAGGTTGGTGGTCATCATATGTCAGCAGCCTTTCTTGAACCAAAACTCTACCTTGCATTTCATGTTGGAAAGTTTGATCGATTCAGTGCATTTTCCTGCCCTAAAATTCTAGTGAAATTTGATAGTGATGATGCACAGCCTGTACAGATCAAATCATATAGAAAAATAAATAATAATATTTTCAAACAGGCAGTAAAGGCACCATCAAAACTACAAGATGATCGACTAATTTCCTTACATATTGTTAATGTCATTGAGATTAACATTACACTTACTTCTTCTAATGAAGTCACTGTGACACTGCAAAAATCATATTTTGATATGAGACCGTTACTGCCATTTTTCAAGTAGTAGTTCTGTTTGTATGTCAGGGCATAGTGAAAGAGCGTACCCCCTCATTGTTTTAGTTACAAATTATCAAGTGTGCTTATTTTTTGTTTTTTTTATTAAAGAGTACCAATAGTGTGAACAGTTTTGGCTTATGTATGTACTATGTAGACTGCTAATGAAATAATGCTGTTTTTCCATAACTTCAATAAATTCTTGTAATGTTATTAAACCAGTTCCATCTCTATTGGCTTCAGTAATCATACCATCAACATCATCTGGAGACAATCTACTATATAGATTGATTGATTAGAGGAAAGTGAAATAAACAGAGTAGAGTAGTAATAGTCAATACTATTGAAGTTATACTTTAATCCATAACTCTTTGAATACAAGAACTTTAAATTGTCCATAGAGTTTATGGGAGAGGGTATTAGAGAGGGTGCTCATATGAAGATAGACAACCAGGTGGTGCTATTCAATATAGTAGGAGAGGAGGACAGAGTTTTCAACATCAGGACAGCAACTATTATTAATAATACATGAATACCATGATTAATAATACACATGATGAAGATGTGTTTTACATTTATTGGAGTAGACTTTACATGTACATATCTCAGTGTTATCACTAATATGATTGTTCTTAGCATAATAAGCCAGAGACTATGTATACCTTTTTGAAACTGATTTGCAGATCAAATGAAGTTTTAAGGCTTAAGACATTGGATGAAGCTCTCGATTTTGGTCCTTCCGCAGTCCTTCTCGACTAGCTCATTAGTTCTATTGCATGACTAATGATATCATCAGTTCACTCATAAAGAATGAAAGTTAATATGAATTTATTGTTAAAAGTTTTATTTCAATCTATTGTTTTATGTCTATATAATCTGTATTATCATAGATATTAGAACCGGTTCTAATATCTATGGTATTATGTTCGGATTCTTCTGAAGTTTGATAACTCATTGTTACTCAACCACAGGCCACGCATGTGTGGAGATTTGAAATGAGCACTGATAAGACTTGGTGCACTCGACTTGTCGCCTCCTTTCATTCTGATTCTGCTCTCTCAATGGCAATGTTCTCAAAATGTGACCTTTCATTCGTTGAAGAAGTACCTAATCAAATCGACATAGAGTGTCCAATTTGTCTGAATATCCTGGCAGACCCTCATCAGGTGAGCTGCTGTGGTAGAAATTTTTGTCAGTCTTGTATTGAGAGGATAAAGGATAGTGATGGATCCTGTCCTATGTGTAAAGAGGAGACGTACAAATCCTTTGAAGATAAGAATATTGGTCGATTCATTAATGGGTTACAAGTATATTGTACCAATAAGGCAAAAGGTTGTCAATGGAAAGGAGATTTGAAGGATCTGACTACTCACCTTAATAAAGGGAAGAGAGAAGGAGATTGTCAATATGAAGAGGTCAAATGTCGATATGAAAAGTGCCAGACAAATGATCAGCGTCAAAATCTTACCATTCATGAAAAGGATGACTGCAACGAACGACCGTACAAGTGTGAGCACTGTGCTCTAGAAGATAGATACATCTTTATTACTGGAGATCATTTAAACACCTGCCCAAAGTATCCTACTACATGCCCCAACAATTGTGCCCAAAAAATACCGCGGCAAAGTATTTCTGGTCATTTAATAAGGTGTCCATTGCAGCCAGTAGATTGTGTGTTTAGTTGGGCTGGTTGTAATGATAAGCCATTACGTAAAGATGTAGATGAACACACTGCTGATACTAAACACATGACACTATTAGCTGTAGCTTGTGGACAATTGAAGAAAGAAAATGAACAAATAAAAGAAATGATGAAAGAAATCGAAAAATAATAGAAAGAAAAAACAAAAGAAATTGAGAAAGCAAAAGAAGAAATGAAGGAAAAAAACGAGAAAATAAAGGAAGAAATGAGGAAAGAAAATGAGGAAAAGGAAGGAATAAATGCCCGATTGCTTTCTTTTCTTGGTGTCATTAACTATGATGCACTTCATGCTTTACCAATTACAGTTAAAGGTAGAGCTCAACATTTTTATACTGAAATTGGTGGTCATCATATGTCAGCAGCTCTTCTTAAATCAGGAAAAATTGGCCTTGCATTTCATGAAGGAAAGTTTGACTAACTCAGTTGTGCACTTGGCCATCCAAAAATTTTTTGGCAAGAATATGCTTTTTCACCAGGCCTAGGAAACCATGTAGAATACTCATATCAAAAGCTACACTATGACGTACTCGATCAACCCCCACTGCATCCGCAAGCTTCACCACTTGAAGTTATTGGAGAATGGGTGCAAAATAATATATTTGGATCAGATCCAACAGGACCAATTTTAATAGATGTCTCCTGCAAATATTTTGACATTGTTCTTACTTCTCCTAATGAAGTCACAATTGTTGCTCATTATAGTTAGTTTTAATAACAGTTTTTAGAGATAGCATTTTATATAGTGTTTTATAGGTCTAGAAGTAATATTTTATTTAGAATGATTTAGGCAATTAGGAGAGCACCAATAATGTGTGACTGTGAACACAAGTATTACTAATAATGTTGTTTTTTTGCATAACTTAAAAGGAGAGAGGGAGGGGAATAGATGTATAATGAATAGAATAGTGAATAGAACAACATGAATAGATGTAATAGATCATGTATCTGCACCCTTTAAATTGGGTGGGGCTGGTTTGTTTTGCTAGCTTTTCAATGGAGAGATATTCAAAAGATGAGCTTTCATTCGTTAAGGAAGTACCTGATCAAATCGAAATCGAATGTCCAGTTTGTCTTCATATCTGTACAGATCCTCATCAGGTGAGCTGCTGTGGTAGAAATTTTTGTCAGTCTTGTATTGAGAGGATAAAAGCTAGTAATGGATCCTGTCCTATGTGTAAAGAGGAGACGTATCAATCCTTTGCAGATAAAAATGTATCTCGTATAATTAATGGGTTACAAGTCTATTGTACAAATAAGGAGAAAGGTTGTCAATGGAAAGGAGATTTGAAGTATCTACCCACTCACCTTAATAAAGGGAAGAGAGAAGGAGATTGTCAATTTGAAGAGGTCGAGTGTCGCTATGACAAGTGTCGAATTAGAGATCAGCGTCAGCATCTTAACATTCATGAGAAAGCAGTGTGCAAGCACCGACCGTACAATTGTGAGCATTGCTATGTGGAAGGTACATATTCATCTATTATCGTCTCACATATAAAAGTTTGCTCAAAGTATCCTACGAAATGTCCCAACGAGTGTGCAAGCTCTGTTATGCCTCGAGATAGTGTTCCTGATCATTTGACCCAGTGTCCATTGGAGCCAGTAGATTGTGTGTTTAGTTGGGCTGGTTGTAATGATAAACCATTACGTAAAGATGTAGATAAACACACTGCTGATACTAAACACATGACACTATTAGCTGCAGCTTGTGGACAATTGAAGAAAGAAAATGAACAAATAAAACAAGAAATGAAAAAATTAAAAGAAGAAAATGGAAAAATGAAAGGAATAAATACCCGAACAGAGTCTTATCTTAAAGTCATTAATTATGATACACATCCTATTCTACCAGTCACAGTTAACAGACGTGGTGATGTTGTTCACTTTTATACTGAGCTAGGTGGTCATCACATGTCAGCCGTCTTTCTTCAACCAAAACTTTACCTTGCGTTTCATGATGGAAAGTTTGATAACCCCTTTGTATCTTTCTGGCTTAAAATTCTATTAAAATATGGTAGAAAGGATGCACAACCTGTACAAACAAGGTTTTATAGAAAAGCAGATGATGATATTCTCACAAAGGCAGCAATGGAACCATCAAAACTACAAGATGATAGACTAACTTCCATAGATATTATTGGTTCTTTCATGGGCATTGACATTAAACTTACTTCTTCTAATGAAGTCACTGTACATATTCCTTTTATAGGGGCACGCCCCCCTCCCCCACCACCGATGAGGCCCAAAAATTAATGCCCAATTTAAAGCTAAGAGAATCCACAGGCTTGAAGTCCAAATGACAGCCTCATAGTTTTATTTGGCATAGTGAAGGAACATGTCCCCTCAATGTTTTAGCTACATTAGTATTTTCATTATCATGTGTGTTTATTTTATTAGAGAGTACCAATTAATGTATGTATGTATGTAATTAATTTAATTGCTAATTAAATAATGGTGTTTTTTGCATAACTTCAATAAATTCTTGTAATGTTATTAAACCAGTTCCATTTCTATTGGCTTCAGTGATCATACCATCAATATCCTCTGGAGACAATCTGCATAAATTATAGAGTGATAAGAGGAACAAATCAATGGTATCTAATTACTTTAATCCATAATTCTTTGAAATAGCCTGCAAATCTTTGGCAGATAATTTACCATCACAATCATTGTCTAAAAACTGAAAAGCCTAACAAAAATATCCCCATTAGTGATTGCAAACTAACAATAGTCAGTTTAGTTTACTTGTTCTATTTCTCCATAACTATCATAAGCAGCTCCCTGTAATCTACAGACTAGCTGCAATAGATTAGTGTACGTTATCAATCCTTCCTTCCCTATCTCTTCTTCCCTCATTAGCTCCTGTAGTCGTCTCCTAGTTACCTTAAAACCTAATACTTTAATAACCTGTGAAAAATATTAAATTCAAAAAACTGCCAATTAAAAATTAGATATTTTAAAGCTCACCTTCCTAAAATCACTTATTGTTAAGCTGCCAGTATTTGAAGGATCATAGACTTGGAAAACTTCCCTCAGGTCTCTCAGTTCTTGCATTGTAAACTCATTCTCTATTGCCATTTTTTCACACTTTCCTGCAAACCAGCCCCACCCTACAATAAATGAAGAAGGCGTGGCTAAAAGAGGTGTGGCTAGAGTTACAAAAATATCCGGAGGTATTCCGTTACTACCGCACGTGTACGTCCTTCTTCCTTCGCTGTCCTCTCCTTACTCTTCATATTTTTACTTTTAAAGGTTAGCTGAGTCATTTAGCCTCCATTCTATGGTTTATCGATAGGTCAATATGCCCATCAACACGGCAAAACTAGCCAAGATCCAGCAACAAAGCGAGAAGGCTCGTCTTGGAGGCAAAGTACAACATTACATCATCATTTTCACCCTCTCTCTCTCTCTCCTCCATTCTTATAGGGGACACAGAGAAGAAAGAGAAAGGTTGTTCACAAGACAGCAACTGATGATAAGAAGCTACAGAACACATTAAAGCGTCTCTCGGTGAACTCCATACAGGCAGTAGAGGAGGTCAATATGATCAAGGATGACGGATATGTGATTCATTTTGTGAATCCTAAAGGTACGGGGTGCTAGTGGGTGGGGTTGTGGGAGGGGCTTTATTTAACAGTACATGTACTAAAGAGTATTGCGACTCTTAATGTATTTATAATGAGGTATTCTTAATCAATTACTTGCTAATTAGCCTAAAATGATATTTTGATTATTATTATTATACGTGTTGTTTGTTAAATATTCTGCCAATACAAATACTACCTCCTCCTCTCTCTCTCTCTATCTCTCTTAGTGCAAGCATCTCTGGCTGCTAATACATTTGCCATCACTGGAAACTGTGAGCAGAAATGTAAGTAATGAAATATGTGTACATGTACATGTACATACATGCCATATACATTATGGAGTAATAATGATTATCATAATACTGTACATATGTCATATATTCTTTTATCCTCCCTCTCTCTCCCTCCCTCTCTCCCCCCTCTCTCTCTCCCCTCTCCCTCTCTCTCTTTAGCATTGACTGAACTGCTACCTGGCATCTTTAACCAACTGGTTAGTACACGCTATCATTATTTATTCATTTATTTTTATTTATTTATTTTATTTATTTATTTATTTCTTGTCATAGGGTGCTGATAGTCTTGCTCATTTCCAGAAGTTGGCCCAGAGTTTCCCGACCCAGGAGAGCTGCAGTGGAGGAGAGGGCGGAGCCTCAGGAGGAGATCACCTTCCTGATATTGATGAGGATGAAGTACCAAGTGAGTTCCGAAAAATTACAATTAAAGAATAAATACTACATACTACACTACAATACTACATTACATTTTATTAATTTTTTTGAAGAATACTATACTGTACATGATTCTACATTTGGCACTTGTTTTTAACCTTGGCATGTCAGTTAGTGTCTGTTTTTAGTTACATTACATGTAATTAGACTTTACTATTTTACTAATTCTAGAAATGATACTAGTACAACTTCTCCTTTAACCATCTCTCTCTCTCTCTCTCTCTCTCTCTCTCTCCCCCTTTTCTTAGCTCTTGTTGGTAATTTTGATGATCCTTCAAAATCAGAAGTTTAGCCAGCCTAACTCTTTACTGTACAAGTGGTGTGATTAATTTCTTGCATATTGACTGTTATTATTATTATTATTATTATTATTATTTTGTTACTAAACTACGTTCACAACAATTGTAGCTCTCGGCTACTAATTAACTATTATTAATAATTACTTAACTATTATTAATAGTTATTAATGTTATACAAACATTCAAGAAGCTTCTAATTTTTTTCTTTATATCAAGTTAAACATTAATTTTTCCATGACAAGTCAAGTGATCAGAAGTTGATCTGACCAATCAAATTCTAGTCCTCACATGGACACTGGTCATTCAAACGGCCAGTTTCAATTTTTAAAGATTCATAATAATTTAAATTCAGTGTCTTATAATCATACATTATTATTAAAATTATCAACGAAATCAGAAGACAGTAAAGTGGGTACACAGTGTTCATTTTTCATTTCTTATACTACTCCATTACTGTTCATTGATGGATGGACAGTAGTTGATTCCATTTCCTCCTCCTCCTCCTCTTCTTCTCCAGACACTTTCTTTATTAGTTCATTAATCTGACCTGATTTCAGCATAAGCTCCAACTGCTGGACCTCTTCCAGTGATCTTGCATTAGCTATGGCGTCCTAAAAATATTTTTTAAATTAATAAAAATTCACCGGAGGCATACTCTTATTTTCGCTATAGCCTCGGGGGTGGGGCCAGTTGTTACCGGGGCAACGGGTAGCGGCTCTCCAGGAACAAACCTAGAATTAAAAGGTTATTTGTGGTCGGTTTTTTGATGGCAAACGTTTTCGATTTCTTTTGGACTTCTTGCAACTTGTGTTGTCCGTCTTTGCCTCCATACATGTTATTGGCCTTCTCTCTCTCCTAATTAATTAATAATTAATTAATTAAAGGCCACACCCCCTGGGACCCACCCTCAGCCTGACACGTCTAAAGTCCAGCACTCTCAGGTTGGGTAGTCTAAAGATGACGTAGTAGCGATAGCCGGGTTTGTGTATGACAGGATTCCTCAGTAAACTAAGGAAGTAAAAATAAAATAGAGAATATACTTCTATATTTTCAATACCTTAAATGTTCAAGTGATTTAAGAGAAGAGAGTGGCTCTAAATCACTCTGTAAGAAATAAAAAGATAAGATTTCTCTCTCTCTCTCTCTCTCTGTCTTACCAGATCTTCTATATTGTTGTAAGTTAATATGAGGGACCTGAGACTAGGAATGCATTCACCCAAACCATCACCAATACGGCTAATGATAATAATAATAATAATGATAATAATAATAATAATAATAATAATAATAATAATAATAATAATAATAATGATGATGATGATAAAATTAGTAATAGTAGCAGTTGGATTTTTTGTATAATTTTTTTAAAGTTACTCCAAAATCAGGCCAAAGTCCCTGTACTATGTACAGTGTCTCGGGCCAAATTTTGCCAAAAATGAAAAGTAGAGAATTCTCAATTTTTATTACATTTCCTGATGCATATACATGTACTTATGTTGTGTAGAAAGTTTGAGCTGATTCCAATCAAAATTGGATTTTTTACGAATTTTAAAAGTTGCTCCAAAATCGGGCCAAAGTCCCTGTACTATATAGTACATGGTCTCAGGCCAAATTTTGCAAAAATGAAAATTGGAGAATTCTCAATTTTTATTACATTTCTTTATTTTCTTGATGCATATACATGTACTTATGTTGCATAGATGGTTCCAATCATAATAATTATTTTATTACCATAGCTTATTGTTGTTAATAATTAGCATCTTCAATCTTCTTAGGTATGGGAATCCATCCAATCTCCGTATCTCGTTATTTGAGAAATCAATGCAATCAAACTGATCCTAAAGATATCAACAAAACGAGTTAAAAAAATTAAAACAATAATAATATAATTTCATTTAAAAGACATCATGAGAGGTGGGCATTAAATAGAAAGTGAGTGGGCATTAATTAGAAGCTAGTGCGTACCAATGTCGCCCCGAGGTTTTCAATAACTTGAATCTTATTACCTATATGTGTCAATCAATACAACAAGCAATCTGATTGGTTGCCTTCCGCCTTTACAGGGTCACATGACTAGCACACACGTCTAGACTCCACGATATTCGTGTGAGAGTAGTCGTGCGACGTCACGCTCACCCTCAGGCTGAGATCACGTGATAGTCACGTGATCGAGACCCCACCCCCACCATACCTCTAAGGCTCAATTCCCAATCATTAACTGAGTTCATGAATTGAGGAGAGTCTGCTATTAGCTCAGCTGTTAGTTTAGACATTTTGAACTGAAAAAAGAGAAAGAAAAAGACAAAAATTAATCCATTTTAAAATGAAAATAATTACACACAAACCATACCTTTTAGTTCTTTTAGTATACGGATATAGGAGGTAGTAATCGGACTGTAATCCTCAAATATCCTAGAGTTTGTAATCTTCGGAAGTTTCCAAAGAGGTACGGACAAAATGGCGGCAATGAGGCTTCTCCTTGTTGGTGCTGCAGGATTCAGCTCCTTCTACTTTCTCAAAGAAAACAAGAGACTGTACGCCATAAGCTACGGGAGACATGTGTACGATGGAGAGGAGAAGAGAACCACGTGGGACAAGAACTGGGACCACAGACAACCAATCAAGACTGAAGAAGAGAAGAAAATTAATGGAGAGGGTGGGGATAAAGGAAAGAGTGAGGTACCAACGGCAACAAGGCATCTCATTTTAGTAAGACATGGGCAATACGTCATGGACGATGATCCAGACAAAAAGGTATAGACCTTTATACAGCAAAAATTTTTATTATATTAATGGGCGTGGTCATAATATTTATTAATAGATACTGACTGAGCTTGGTAGGAGGCAAGCAGTTGAAACTGGGAAACGTTTGAAAGAGCTCAATCTTCCGTTCACAATCCTTTATCACTCCACCATGGTAAGGGCCGTAGAGACTGCTGATATCATCAGTCAGCATCTGCCAGGGGTTCCTGTGAACACGACTGAAATTTTGTGCGAGGGGGCCCCCATTAAACCAGAGCCTGCTGTTACACATTGGAAACCAGAACACTGGGTAAAATAATAATTTAGAAAATATTGTTATTATTATTATGTTGTTGTTGTTGTCATTGTTATTATAAAATTATTATTATTATTATTGTAGCAGTTTTTTCAAGATGGCTCTCGTATAGAGACAGCTTTCAGACAGTTCTTTCATCGTGCTCCTCCAGAACAAAAAGAAGACAGCTATGAACTGATTGTCTGTCATGCGAATGTAATAAGATACTTTGTATGCAGGTAGGCAAAGAGAGACATAAAGCAAATAAAATGTTCTTTTATTTTTACTCTTAGGTCCCTACAGTTACCTCCAGAGGCGTGGCTTAGAATGAGTATTGGTAACTGTGGAATCACTAAAATATCCATCCGGCCTAATGGGCGTGTCAGTTTAAAAGAAATGGGTGGTACTGGACACCTCCCACCCGAACTATTGACATTTAATTGACTCTCATACATGTACATGTACATGTACATGTACATGTACATGTACATGTACATTTTTAGCTCTCATTCATATTGATGAGTATCCTTTCCTTATGGTACAGTCAGCCCTATATGTAGTGTGACACACATTATGAGAGGTGGCAATAGATACAACAAAAAAGTTCTACTTATATTCCAAGTGCTATTATTGTCACTACTCCTTTTCATACTAGCTATTACAAGTCAGCATCATTGGTACTCTTCATGTGATACAATGTACATGTACATTTATTATCTCAACAGTCTATTGCAGGTTACTTTGTTTTAAAGGTGTTACATTCTTCCCAAGAATAGAAACCTCTTCTATTCTGGATAAATTGTTCCTTTTAACTTACAACATCAAAGTAATCACATCAGTTGCAATAAATTGGTACTGTGGCAAAACATGCCAAGCAAACAATTAGTTAGTATTTAATTTAAGTTCAATCAGTCATTAGTCAATTAGCTTATCTATTCAGTTAATTATACACTGGTTTGCACTATTTGTCAGCTAGACCACTACTTCTTTAGAAAGGGCAGGGAATGTCAGTGGTAAGTCATATTGTGTGACCTGGACATTTTTATTAAGTTTTTTTAGTTTTTAAAGCTGTTTTTGATATTTTGCATAAGTGGCTCCAGCTTTAGTCTTGATAGAGATGACTTTTATCAGGACTCTTCTGCTACTACTCTAGCAACAGTAAGTGATAGTGGCTCTGCTTCTGGTCTCAGTCTTCCTTTAACAATTACTAATATCAGAGGTCTTTCTGATGACTCTGCACTTGCAGGAGCTGCAGTGAGTAGCTCTATTCTATGATTTTGATATACTTGTTTAATCAGTTTTTACTTTTTAAAAAGATCACTGGTGGCCTCTTAACTCTAAGCCTACCTATCTATAACATTGGCTTGCAGAGGCGTACTGTTGCTGCAGGTTATTCAGGCAGTTCAACTCTTAAGATCTCTGTAGATGTACTACTGAGGAATAAAGCTCTGAATGATATTAAAGCTAAATTCCCTGCTCTGAATGGTGATAGTATTTACCCAACGCATCTTCTGCTTTTTGAGGTTGATGACTTACATACCAATGTTGTGAGTTCAACCATTTGATTGTAAGTGATTCCTTTATCAAATACATTGCATACCACTAGGGTACTGACTTGGATGGAACAATTGCTCAGCTAGTATTAGCAACCAATGGCAGATACACGTTTGGTATTGTTCTAATTGTGCATGTTTTCTCTAGTGCCGGCACATTCACTGGATCATATAATGATGATTTTTCACAGCTCTTGGTTGAATATCCATTTGCAACTAATGGTGCCCTTAATTCTAATGCAGCCACGGAATCTAATGTTGACACTCCTGGAAAATATGTCATTGATTTCAACGGTAATGTATATACTGACTCTTAATATGCATTCTATATAATATCCTAATTTCAGATGCCCTTCCTCCACCTCCTGTTTGCCAATGCAAAAAAAGGTTGGAGGCTCTTGCATGTCATACAATGAAACAGATGTCTGGAAACATTCTGTCATTTTGCAGTCAATATATGTAGACAGCAGACTTTACTGCTTGCTCATTTTTTGTCTTGTCAAATTAGAGTGGTTTTTAATAACTTTTAAAATGCTGAGATTTTCACCCAGAATCACCCTCATGCTAGTCTTGCCCCGCCCCTTAGGTAGCGAAGGGGCGGGGTGAGACTACCTTCATGCAGGCTCAGTGAATTCTTCTAGAATTGAATAATTTGATAATAGATTATTGATACACATTAACTAGTCACTTACCTCCAGAGGTGTGGTATCAGTAACTGCAGAATCACTAAAATATCCATCCAACCTAATGGGAATGTAAATTTATTAAGAGCAATGGATGGTACTGGACACCTCCCACCTGAATTATTGACATTCAATTGACTTTCATACATGTACATGTACATGTACATACATTTTTAACTCTCATTATTATTGATGAGTATCCTTTTCTTATGGTATAGATAGTCAACCCATACGTATGTGATGCATGTTATGAAAGATGACAATTGAATAAATGCTACAAGAATTTACCACAAATTATCGTTTCTCTAGCTTTTACAAGTTAGCATTGGTACTATTCAAATTCATGAGATGCAACAGTATTATTGTATTATTAGATGTAACAGTATTATTGTATTATTAGATGCAACAGTATTATTGTATTATTAGATGCAACAGTCTGTTGCAGGTTACTTTGATTTGAATGCATTGCATTGTTTCCTAAGAATTGAAACCTCTTCTATTCTGAACAACTTGTTCCGTTTAACTGTCAACATCAAAGTATGTAACTACAAATTCAATCTGTAGTTATAACACTTTAATATTGTTAGTTAAATCGAACAAGTTGTCCAGAATAGAAGTAGTTTCTATTCTTGGGAACATTAAATTTGATTGCAATAAAATGGTATCATGGCAAAACATGCCAACAGCGCAATACAAACAAACAATTAAATAAGTATTTAATTTAAGTTTAATCGGTCATTAGTGAATTAGCTTGTCTAGTCAGTTAATTACAGGTACCGGTATATATATGTAGTGCCGGGTTTGCACTATTAGTTGTCAGATAAACCATTACTCCTTTAGAGAAGGGCAGAGGGAAATGTCAGTGGTAAGTCATGCTGTGTAGCCTGGACATTTGTATAAGTATTTTTAGTTTTTAAAGCTGTTTTTGATATTTTGCATAAGTGGCTCCAGCTTTAGTCTTGATAGAGATGACTTTTATCAGGACCCTTCTGCTACTACTCTAGCAGCAGTAAGTGATGATGGCTCTGCTTCTGGTCTCAGCCTCCCTTTGACAATCACTAATATCAAAGGTCTTCCTAATGACTCTGTACTTGCAGAAGCTGCAGTGAGTAGCTCTACACTATGATTTTAATATACTTGTCTCAATTTTACTTTTTAAAAGATTCGTCCAGGCCTCTTGTCTCTAAGCCCACCTACCTATAACATTGGTTTGCAGAGGCGTCCTACTTTTACTACGTTTTATGGTCGTTCAACTCTTAAAATCTCTGAAAATGTATCACTGAGGAATAGAGCTCTGAATGATATTAAAGCTAAATTCCCTGCTCTGAATAAAGATACTATTTACCCAACGCATCTTCTGCTTTTTGAGGTTGATAACTTATTTCCCCATGTTGTGAGTTTGCCCATTTGATTGAAATTCTTTTATCAAATACATTACATACTCCTAGGGTACTATAGTGGCTGGAACAATTGCTCAACTAGTACTAGCAACCAATGGCAGATACACATTTGGTATTGTTCTAATTGTCCGTGTGTACTTTGATTCCCTATCATATACTGGATCATATAATGATGATTATTCACAGCTCTTGGTTGAATATCCATTTGCAGCTAATGGGGGCTACCTCAGTTCTAGTGCAGCCACAGAATCTAATGTTGACACTCCTGGAAAATATATCATTGATTTCAATGGTAATGCATAATGTCACTGTATATACTGACTATTAATATGCATTCTATATACCATCCTAATTTCAGATGCTCTTCCTCCTCCTCCTGTTTGCCAATGCAAGAAAAGGTTAGAGGCTCTTGCATGTCATACAATGAAACAGATGTCTGGAAACATTCCGTCATTTTGCAGTCAATATATGTAGAGAGCAGACTTTACTGCTTGCTCAGTTTATGTCTTGTCAAATTATAGTGACTTTTAATGACAGATTAGAATATTGCAACTTTCACCCTCAGGCTTAGTAAATTCTTCTGAAATTAAATAATTTGATAGTAAATTATTGCTACACATTAACTAGTCAGTTACCTCCAGAGGCGTGGCTTAAGATGAGTATTGGCAACTACAGATTCACTAAAATATCCATCCGACCTAATGGGCATGTCAGTTTAAGAGAAATGGGGAGTACTGGACACCTCCCACCCGAACTATTGGCATTCAACCGACTCTCATACATGTACATGCATTTTAGCTCTCATATTGAGTAGTATCCTTTCCTTATGGTATAGCCATAGACTATAAATTTCTTTAATAGAGTAAATTCACTCTATTATCTATGGTATAGCCAACCCATACACTATCATGTACTTTATGAGAAATGACAGTAGATAGTACTACAAAAATTTACTACAAAAATACCACAAATATTACTGTTACTCCTTTTCACACTAGCTATTACAAGTCTGCATTGGCAATATTGAAATTCATGAAATGCAATAGTGTCATGTACACGTCTTGTCCCACCCAGTCTATTGCAGGTTATTTCAAAGCAACTATACTGATCTGTTGCAATAAATTGGTATTGTGGCATTAGAGAAGGGCAGAGAGCAGGAAATGTCAGTGGTAAGTCATGCTGTGTAACCTGGACATTTTGTATAGGTCTTTTTAGTTTTTAAAGCTGTTTTTGATATTTTGCATAAGTGGCTCCAGCTTTAGCCTTGATACAGATGACTTTTATCAGGACTCTTCTGCTACTACCCTAGTAGAAGTAAGTTCTGGGAGCTCTTTTCCTGATCTCAGCCTCCCTTTGACAATTACTAATATCAGAGGTCTTCCTAATGACTCTGCACTTGTAGAAGCTTCAGTGAGTAGCTCTATGCTATGATTTTAATATGTTTGTCTCATTTTCACTTTTTTAAAGATTACTGGTGGCCTCTTGTCTCTAAGCCCACCTACCTATAACATTGGCTTGCAGAGGCGTACTGCTTCTGCAGGTTATTCAGGTAGTTCAACTCTTAAGATCTCTGTAGATGTACCACTGAGGAATAGAGCTCTAAATGATATTAAGGCTAAATTCCCTGCTTTGAATGGTGATAGTATTTACCCAACACATCTTCTGCTTTTTGAGGTTGATGACTTATACTCTGAAGTTGTGAGTTTAATCATTTGATTGTTATTCCTTTGTCAAATACATTGCATACCACTAGTTTATTAGTGACTATAATGGAACAATTGCTCAGCTAGTACTAGCAACCAATGGTAGATACACGTTTGGTATTGTTCTAATTGTGCATGTGTACTTTGATACCAGCACATTCACTGGATCATATAATGATGATTTTTCAGAGCTCTTGTTGGAATATCCATTTGCAACTAATGGTGTCCTTAATTCTAATGCAGCCATGGATTCTAATGTTGGCACTTCTGGAAAATATGTCATTGATTTCAATGGTAATGTATAATACTGACTATTAATATGCATTTTATATACCATCCTAATTTCAGATGCCCTTCCTCCAGTTCCTGTTTGCCAATGCAAGAAAAGGTTGGAGGCTCTCGCATGTTATACAATGAAACAGATGTCTGGAAACATTCCATCATTTTGCAGTCAATATATGTAGACAGCAGACTTTACTACTTTGCTCATTTTATGTCTTGTCAAATTAGAGTGGCTTTTAATAACTTTTTAAATGTTGAGATTTTCACCCAGAATCACCCTCATGCTAGTCTTGCCCCGCCCCTTAGGTAGCGAAGGGGTGGGGCGAGACTACCCTCATGCAGGCTCAGTGAATTCTTCTGGAATTAAATAATTTGATAATAAATTATTGATACACATTAACTAGTCACTTACCTCCAGAGGCATGGCTTAGAATGGGTATTGGTAACTGTAGAATCACTAAAATATCCATCCGACCTAATGGGCATGTCAGTTTAAGAGAAATGGGCGGTACTGGACACCTCCCACCCGAACTATTGACATTCAATTGACTCTCATACAAGTACATGTACATGTACATGTACATACATTTTCAGCTCTCATTATTATTGATGAGTATCCTTTCCTTATGGTATAGTCAACCCCATATGTGCATGTGATGCATGTTACAAAAGATGACAATAGAATAAATACTACAAGGATTTACCACAAATTATCGTTTCTCTAGCTTTTACTAGTCAGCATTGGTACTATTCAAATTCATGAGATGCAACAGTATTATTGTATTATTAGATGCAACAGTCTGTTGCAGGTTACTTTGATCTGAATGCATAGCATTGTTTCCTAAGAATTGAAACCTCTTCTATTCTGAACAACTTGTTCCATTTAACTGACAACATCAAAGTATGTATAACTACGAATTCAATCTGTAGTTATAACACTTTAACGTTGTTAGTTAAATCGAACAAGTTGTCTGGAATAGAAGAGGTTTCTATTCTTGGGATCATTAAATTCGATTGCAATAAATGGTATCATGGCAAAACATGCCAACAGTGCAATACAAACAAACAATTAAATAAGTATTCAATTTAAGTTTAATCGGTCATTAGTGAATTAGCTTGTCTAGTCAGTTAATTACAGGTACCGGTATATATATGTAGCAGTTTGCACTATTAGTTGTCAAATAAACTATTACTCCTTTAGAGAAGGGCAGAGGGAAATGTCAGTGGTAAGTCATGCTTGTAATCTGGAAATTTGTATACACTTTTTTAGTTTTTAAAGCTGTTTTTGATATTTTGCATAAGTGGCTCCAGCTTTAGTCTTGATAAAGATGACTTTTATCAGGACTCTTCTGCTACTACTCTAGCAGCAGTAAGTAATAGTGGCTCTGCTTCTGGTCTCAGTCTCCCTTTGACAATTACTAATATCAGAGGTCTTCCCAACGACTCTGCACTTGCAGAAGCTGCAGTGAGTAGCTCTATTTTATGATTTTAATATACTTGTCTCATTTTTACTTTTTAAAAGATTCGTGCTGACCTCTTGACTCTAAGCCCACCTACCTATAACATTGGTTTGCAGAGGCATGCTGCTTCTATTGGTTTTTTTGGTAGTTCAACTCTTAAAATCTCTGTAGATGTATCACTGAGGAATAGAGCTCTGAATGATATTAAAGCTAAATTCCCTGCTTTGAATGCTGATAGTATTTGCCCAACACATCTTCTGCTTTTTGAGGTTGATAACTTATTTCCCAATGTTGTGAGTTCAACCATTTGACTGTAATTCTTTTATCAAATACATTGCATACCACTAGGGTGCTACGTTGCCTGGAACAATTGCTCAGCTAGTATTAGCAACCAATGGCAGATACACATTTGGTATTGTTCTAATTGTCCGTGTATTGGATGATACCCAAACATTCACTGGATCATACAATGATGATTTTTCACAGCTCCTGTTTGAATACCCATTTGCAACTAACGGTTTCCTTAATTCTAATGCAGTCACAGAATCTGATGTTGGCATTCCTGGAAAATATGTCCTTGATTTCAATGGTAATGTATATACTAAGCATTCTATACACCATTTCTAATTTCAGATGCTCTTCCTCCACCTCCTGTCTGCCAATGCAAGAAAAGGTTGGAGGCTCTTGCATGTCATACAATGAAACAGATGTCTGGAAAAAGCCCGCCATTTTGCAGTAAATATATGTAGAAACTAGATTTTGTTGCTTGCTCAGTTTATGCCTTTCTCAAATTAGAGTGACTTTTTAAAAATGAAATATTGTGATGTTTATCTTCAGTAGATTTTTGAAAATTAATATTTTGATAGTAAGTTATTGCTAGACCATAACTAGTTGGTTACCTGCAGAGGTGCAGCTTAGAATGAATATTTGTGTATTTTTGTACTTTGTCAATTAAAAAATTACTTTAAATTTTACCGCCACTAGATATTAACTAGTTATGCGCATGCGCAAAACTTGAGGTGGGGTTTATTTGTTCTCACATCACGTGATCCTGGAACCTGTAGCCCCACCCAAAAGGCGGAGAAAAGGGAGTTGCAAACCTGCTGTCCTTTATCTTCACAATGTTCCTCTTCTAATGTAGTCCAGCTCTCTTTTCTAGCTCAAATTTTATTTTCTGATTACCTAGGAGATAGTTTAGCTCTAGTTTTTAAAATTGTCGATCATGAGTGCTGAGAACACGCCCACCACTCCTCCTAGCGACCCAAAGGTAGAATTGGAGGCAGATAATGAAGAGGTGAGTCTATTTATCTCGTCTCACGTGATCTCTTCGTTTCACAGGACGAGTTTGAGGATGCACCGTCGACTTTTCAAAGGAACGATGCTGTGTGAGTTTTGGGTGTGGGTTGTGATGGGCATGGTCTTGTAATCGAATTAATTAACTTCAATTTATTTGTTTATTTTTAAATGTTTTAATTTTGATATTGTTCACCATTAGTTTATATAGTGGCTTCCATGCACTCTGTACATTTCTATAATTAATTAAATATAATTATATTGAAATGAGAATTTAAGATATTATTATTATTATTATTATTATTATTATTATTATTATTATTATTATTATTTACAGTACTGAGATTACTCATGAAGCCGGTATGGAGACGATCACAAAAGTTCTTAACATGATGTTGAATAATCAGTACTTTGAAGCAGAGGCCATTCTGAAACCATGGTATTAATATCTATTAATTTATTATTAAATAACGGTTATGTTTTCTGATACATATACATGTACTTATGTTGCCTAGAAGGGTCACAGGCCAAATTTTATTTAAAAATGAAAAGTAGAGAATTCTGCATTTTTATGATATTCCCTGGTGCATATACATGTACTTATGTTGCGTAGAAAGTTTGAGCTGATTCCGATCAAATTTGGATTTTTTACGAATATTTAAAGTTGCTCCAAAATCGGGCCAAAGTCCCTGTACTATAGTATATGGTCTCGGGCCAAATTTCACCAAAAATGAAAAGTAGAGAATTCTCCATTTTTATTACATTCCCTGATGCATATACATGTACTTATGTTGCGTAGAAAGTTTGAGCTGATTCCGATCAAATTTGGATTTTTTTACGAATATTTAAAGTTGCTCCAAAATCGGGCCAAAGTCCCTGTACTATAGTACATGGTCTCGGGCCAAATTTCACCAAAAATGAAAAGTAGAGAATTCTCCATTTTTATTACATTTCCTGATGCATATACATGTACTTATGTTGCGTAGAAAGTTTGAGCTGATTCCGATCAAATTTGGATTTTTTATGAATTTTTAAAGTTGCTCCAAAATCAGGTCATATAATAGTACATGGTCTCGGGCCAAATTTTGCCAAAAATGGAAAGTAGAGAATTCTCCATTTTTATGATATTTTCTGATACATATACATGTTCTTATGTTGCGTAGAAAGTTTGAGCTGATTCCAATCAAATTTGGATTTTTTATGAATTTTTAAAGTTTCTCCAAAATCAGACAAAAGTCCCTAGTACATGGTCTCGGGCCAAATTTCACCAAAAATAAAAGGAGAAATTTCTCCATTTTTATTACATTTTCTTACGTACTAGGCCTACATGTATGTATATATTTATAATTTTATATTTATTTTATATTTTTATTATTTAATTCTTTTAGGGCTGATGTTAGTCCCTATCATTGTGTGGGCTATGGTACTATAGTATTCTGTCAAGCCATGATGAGTTTTGAACCAGTAAGCTAAAAAAAGTTAAAGTTAAAATTTTAGTTTTTACTAAAATTAGTCATTACTTATTTTAATTAATTACTTATTTTACTAAATTTTAGTCATTACTTATACAATTATGTTTTATTAATTTGTATTTTAATAATTACAACATGTATATATATATATATGTATCATATTTGCATCATTATTTATAATCCATTATTAATTCATATATTATTATTATTATTATTATTATTATTATTATTATTATATATAATCGATTATTCATATATAGTTATTCATTCCGTATATTAATTATTATAATTTTATTAATAAACTCTTCCTGATCTGTGCATAATCTTTCTAAAACGCCATGGCAACGGGAGGTATCCATAGTAACTGTTGGTATTCACACCTTTATCCTTTACTTCCAGCAGTCCTTCCTTATATAGAGCCTGTAACACTAACAGTGTGTGTTCTTATATTAGTCATTGTTTGTGTGGGGGGACCATTATCATGAGGAGGAGAGTTAACAGCAGCACTGTCATTGTTATAATAAGAAATATTCTTTTTATAAAGTCTAGCATCATAAGCTTGTCTACTCATTCTCTCTCTCCCTCCTCTCTCTCTGTTAGGAGACTATAGAGCTTGCTTCTTCCATTTTGCAAGATGCCGTAGCTCTACTTAACACGTGAGTAGCTCCCTCCCCCCCTCTCTCTCTCTCTCTCCTTTTTGTTTTTGATAAGGAATTTGTCTTTGTTCCAATTTGGCTTGAACTTTTTTATAAACAACAAATGATTGGCTTTTGTTGTAATTTTTATGAAAGAATAGCTGAGATTTTTAGCAGTTCTTTACCAGTTTTGTATTTAGCAAAATTAACAGCAATTTTATTGTTCTTCTCCCTCCCTCTCTCTCTCCCTCCTCCAGTATACGCAAGAAGCAAGGTGTAATGGAGTCGTTGTCAGGAATGGTCTTTGGTCAGAAGATGGACTCCTACACGACGGCTGAACTTCACGCCGAGATATTTTATGCTGAATGCAACATGCTGCAATCACTGTTAACATTCTTTCAGGTAATATATTATTTAAAAAAATAAATAATTATTATTGTTATTTTAAAATACTGTAATATTATTAATAATGATTATAATAAAATTAGTATTAATATTAAATTTTATTGATACATTAATTGTTTAATTAGAGCAGGGCAATTGCAGTGAATTGCCCATTCAAAAATTTTTCAATAGCTTCCGACAACAAATCATCATCCTTTACTGATCTCTTTATAAATGCATGAAACGTTACAAGGCTATCATGGGTCGGACTATAATGATATTCATTACTTGTTACTGAGGCTTGTAACACGTAGTTGGAATCCACTCAAAATTATTATCATACGTAGCATATATCAACAGTATATTAATTATTAGTTTAGATATAACTTGAAAAATATTAATCAGAATCAGCTCAAACTTTCTACACAGCATAAGGACATCAATGTGTATCAGAAAATGTAATAAAAATTGAGGGTGATTTCGGAGCCATTTTTTGAAAAAAACCATGGGCTATAGCCTTGGGTATTTTTCATAATTTTGGCATTTTCTTAAAATGGCCATAACTCAGAAAATTGAAGTCGGAATCAACTCAAGCTTTCTACACAGCATAAGGACATCAATATGTATCAATAACTGTAATAAAAATTTGGGGTGATTTCGGAGCCATTTTTTGAAAAAAACCATGGGCTATAGTACAGGGCACTTTTCAGAATTTTGGCGTTTTTTTAAATGGCTGTAACTTGAAAAATTGAAGTCAGAATCAGCTCAAACTTTCTACACAGCATAAGGGCATCAATATGTATCAGAAAATGTAATAAAAATTTGAGTTGATTTCGGAGTCATTTTTTGAAGAAACCATGGGCATTTTCCAGAATTTTGGTGATTTCTTAAAATGGCCGTAACTTGGAAAATTGAAGTTGGAATCAGCTCAAACTTGCTACACAGCATAAGGACATCAATATGTATCAGAAAATGTAATAAAAATTTGGGGTGATTTCGGAGCCATTTTTTGGAAAAAAAACCATGGGCTATAGCCTTGGATACTTTTTAAAAACTGGCCTGTTTCTTTTAATGCTCTTAACTTTGAAATTATTAGTCGAAATACAGCTCAAACTTCCTAGGTAGCATAAAGACATTAAGACATTCTAAATTGTGAAATAAGTCCATGTACATATGACACTTTATTGATTTCGTGGTTTTAATATTCTTGGTACAGACCACAAAACCACAAAAATGAAACGTCAAGAAGTAGGCAACCCGGCGCCGTAGTATTTACTCCACTCCATTTAACACTGTAGATTCCAATAAATTTGTACTTATATGTATCTATTTCTTTACTACAATTTACATCAATGATTATGTTCATTTTTATAGCGTATGTCCTATGTGACGTGATGTTAAAGGTCTTGCTCATGAACGCGTGACGATAGTTCCCATTTTATTGACTAGCGATTTGTAACTATAGTGCATGGGAACTGTCTGATCTTCCTCTTTCATAATTATTACAAAATATGAACTGATCATTTCACAATACACCCACCATTGTGTGCTACGTGAGATACATTATGCGTGCTATTTGTAGTAATACATGTAGATGTAGATGTAGTTGATATTATCTCATAAACTCAGTTGCAGTTCACAAGCTGCGTGGTGTGTGTGTGTGTGTGTGCGTATGCATGTACTTAAATACATCCAATCTGTCACTAATTAATGAGGTCAGCCTTCTATTGTTGAGCAATCCTGCATAATTCAATAGGCCAGAGATTTAATTCATTAATAGAAGATACATATGTTACTAATCATTACTGAACAGTGATATTTATACATGCATGTACATGTACTTGTACATCCAGTCACTCTCTCACTAATTAATGAGGTCAGCCTTCTATTGTTGAGCAATCCTCATAATTCAATAGGCCAGAGACTTCCTTACTAGATAATTAATCATTTAGGAACAATAATATTTATGCATGTAGCAACTGGCTATACATCAATTAGTGTTACTGTGACAGGTATACTGTTACTAATGCAGTATTTATGAATGGGCTGAAAGCATTATCTCATATCCATTACAATAGTTTGAATGACAGTTCCAGCTGCTTCGTAGTACGCTAGTTTTCACTAATACATCGAGAGTCCTCCTTTCATCCATTCAGCTCATTCTGGTTGAGTGAGTGTAGCTATGGCTCCCATAGACTAGAGTGGTTTCAAATTAATGGGCATCAGTCTCACTTCGCCTCCAGAGGTGGATTGATGTGAAGTGATGCGCTTCAATCAACATGCAACCAATGGCAACAAGAACACAAAACGATACGTAATCCAGCTGCTAGACAGTGCTAGTGTGAACAAGATCAATGCGCTGTATCAACAAAGCCCATCAAAGCGCTTTGAGGTTTCTATGGTATTGCTGCATATCTAACAGGCTAGGCCAGTAAAGAATCAACCAAGCTTGACAAATGGACTAATAAGAGCATAAGCGTAGAGTGCCAGGTTTCGCTTATTTTATTTAATAAACCAAGAGGTTAATAAGTGTTCCCCGGGAGGTTTCTAAGTGTTCCCCAGGAGGTTTTTAAGTGTTCACCGGGAGGTTTCTAATAGATTTAGAAATCTGGTATTCTGCAATCTGATTGGCTAATTTAAATTTGGCATGATAGAATACATGCATAGTTAATACAACCACATACATGTAATTAATGTGATTAATGTGACAGCTGGTAAGATTTCAAATATTTTTGCGGTAACTACCTATTCTTCCTAATTTCCTTATACAGTGTAACATAGCCTGGAGGAAAGTATCTATTGATCTTGTATTGAGTCTGTCAATTATGTTCTACCTTGTATTACGTTAGAGTGGAGGGTATTTTATCCTGTTTCCATGATAGGAAATCCAGTAATCTAATAAGTACATGTACATGTACATTACAGTACTTTATTATACATTAGGTACATTGTACTTTACTTTATTGGGAATCAGATACATGTGTATTAAGTTATATAATGTGAATCATTAATTTATATGTACATGTACATGTGTATTCTGTGTCATCAAGGTTTATGGGGTTTGTGATTAACAGTAAATTGTAGTATACCTGTCTTTGTCTTTCTTTTGATGTTCTTTCGTTTTAAATGATGTAATGTTAACCCTCTTCCTACATGTAATTCCTCTCTCGCTCTCCGTCTCTCTCTCTCTCTCGCTCTCTCTTTTTATGACTTCTATATAGCACTGTAGCCCTTGAACTGTAAAATTATCCATTTATTTACTTACTTATTTATTTATTTACTTATTAATTTATTTATTTATTTATTTATCTTAGGACGAGAGCCTCATGAGTTTCATTAAAGGTGGTCTCAAAATCAGACAGTGCTACTCAATGTACAAGTGAGTGACCATAGACACACCCACAAACCATCCTCATATTAATTATTATTTTTTAACTTTTAGGAACTTCTATTCATGGGTGGAGTCCAGTAAGCTGGAGGGCGTGGTCTTGGATCCGGAATTTATTGCCGGAGTCCAGCTAGGGATAGGCTGCTTTAATCTGGTAATTATTAAAATTATTAATAATAAAATTTTAAAAATCAATTTAAATTCAAAAAGAGAAGGAGTATTTAATTACATTTACTATAATAGTAACATCATGCTGAAAATTCCATTTTAATTGCTTAATTGTCTTTTAATTGCTTTTATTAATTTATTATTATTGGCAATTAAGTAAAATTATTAATAATAGAATTAAAAGAAATTAATTTAAATTCAAAAAAAGCGAAGGCGTATCTAATTAAATTTACTATAATAGTAACATCATGCTGAAAATTCCATTTTTAATTGCTTAATTGTCGTTTAATTGCTTTAATTATTATTATTATTATTATTCTTGGAATTTATGTCACAATTACTCTGTAGTACTAGTAAAAGTTGTGTGATATCACTCCACTAATGTTGACTTGTTATAATTGGATGTTATGTAGCTGTTACTGGAGGAATGTCAATTACTTTTTTATTTTTAATTTTGTTCTTATTAAATATTTCTGTCATTATTTCAAAAACCACATACTTCCTTTGCAATAAGGTATAGCGTATGCCTCCATTTAACGGACAGCACCTAGTGTACCAATTACATTCCTTACTGTATAAAATAACCTCCACATAAAGGACACCTCTGTATAACAGAGACACTTTCAAAGTGTCCATTATATAGAGACTACACTTTAAATAATAATAATAATAATAATAATAATAATAATAAATAAATGAATATTTTATTATCATTCTCTTTATTCTTTAGATCATCTCTCTCCTTCCCCAAAGGATTCTTAAACTTTTAGAGTTTGTTGGTTTTTCCGGTAACCAGCTGCTCGGCCTACAGGAGCTAACTAATGGAGCTCGGTCTCAAACCATTCACTCCTCAATGTGCACCTCATTCATACTGTTCTATCACACTGTCGCATCCGTAATGTTAGGTGAGACATTCTTGTATACTCTTGTATACCTTTGTATATTTTTAGAGAAATAAAAAATATACAAATTTTTAAAAATACAAAATAAAATTTTTAAAGAAATAAAAATTGTTAGTTAGTAGTAAATTTTTTGATACCCTTGCTTGCCCTGTAAATTATTGAATATATTGGGGTGTTCTTGTAAATTTTTGGATATTTTTGGGAGCTCTTGTAAATTGCTATAGATATCTTTGTATATTATTGTATATCTTTGTATATTATTGTATATCTTTGTATATTATTGTATACATCAGATCTTTGTGTGGTTGTATTATTATCCATTATTAGTTTAGTGTGAGAGAATAGAGTAAATAAATTGAATAATGACATTATTAATTTATTACGAGTTACTCTCTTACACGAATCACGTAACACCGCCACCTGTTCCTTTCACCGCCGCTCCAAATATGGCCACCAAACCTCTCTCTCTCCCTCTCTCTCTCTCTTTGTCGAAACCTTACGAAAGAACCTAGTACTTCTTTGACTGACCGCAGACTACAATGCCTCACTGATAATGTAATAATGAGTGTAGGTTGAATAGGATCACATATAGATGTAGGGTTTGTGGTATCATCATGTATACGTATTTAAATGTATGTGTACATATATGTACAATGTAGATTGTACGTGTGTGTGTGTGTATTAGTGTATTAGTATGATAATTATTCTGCACTTCTTGGAATATCTAACGCATCACATCCTCTTAGTATTATACTGGTCTTCTATTTACTACAACTGTACATTAAAGTTTTTGAGATGTAGTACATGTACATATACATACACATACATAATACGTACATGTACATGTACATACACGTAATACATGTGTATGTATGTCTTAAGTTGTTTATCCAGTCACTTCCTTCATCAGGGGCTGATTTCATTACACAAACTCACATCTCTTCACCTCATGTATATATACCTTCATTATCTTCCTCAATAAATATGTTACTATGTAGTCACAGGATGTAAGTGAGCAGTCGATTCTTAGAAAAACCAGGAATTCTTATAATACGTTATAGGTTGGTTAGCTAAGCAGTTAGAAATTTAACTTCTGACGTTAGAAATTTAAGTTATGCACTACAGAACTAAGTGAGCTTTAAAGATTTGTAATCAAGTTTATTCAGTAGATTTTAAACTTTAAAAAAATTTGAATGCTTTTTAAATTTTATGTAAAAACGTGCTGAAAAAAGTAGTCAATTTTTAATTAATTTTACCAAGATTTTAATTTTTTACTATGGTACTTAGAAATATTTTAAAACCATTCCTTACCTAAATTAATAATTAAGGAATGTGCTTATAAAATTTGAAGCAGTTTGAATTTAAAATAAGATACTAATCAAAGTTTTATTGTGTCTTTTTCAGCCATTACCATTAGTTATCATTGGCTGGGATGGTGTAATGGATTCAGCTTATATCACCAATTAATACCAATCATCGAGCATAACGTCACGGCCTAATCATGTCTTTGTACCATACACTTGACTGGTTACTCTGTGGTTGAGCTACATCTATTAGTATGGTTTTCTGAGAAATGTTGTAACTTAGATCACTTACAAAGAGAGAGGCCTGTGTAGCCTCATCCACCTTATACTGAGTACTCTCATATCCCCACCACTACTCTAAAGCTACTATAGGGCACATACCAATAAATACCACTTGAAATAAAAACACTTGTACAGAACTTGACCACTTTCAGCTGTGGTGTATCAAATGGATGACTCTCTGATGACAGAGTCACAAGACAGTGATACCTGAAGCCATTTTGATGAGTGTGTGATTCTTGTTTCTCACTGTATTGTGGTGGGGCCCACTCCTTTTATATATTACAGAATAATAGCATATTGTTATGCAAAGGATTTGGTGTGATTCTGTTGTCACTGGATTTAATTTTATAATTAGCCTTTTAATTTTTTCACACTCTTTCTTTCTCCCCCTAGGTCTGGCTAGTACGGAGGTTGATCACGCTGATGGTTTGCTACAGCTCCAAATGGAAAGACACCCAAACGTATGTTTAATTGGTTTAACTTTTAATTACTGTTGTTATTATTATTTTGTTGTTATTCTTTCTTATGTAGTGTCTTCTTTATTTATATTTCAAGGGCAGGATAGCACTGCTTAGAGGGAATGTCGATGAGGTGAGAAAGAGAGAGAGAGAGGGGGGGAAGAGAGGGAGAGAGAGAGGGAGGGAGAGAGAGAGGGAGAGAGAGAGAGAGAGAGAGAGAGAGAGAGAGAGAGAGAGAGAGAGAGAGAGAGAGAGAGAGAGAGAGAGAGAGAGAGAGAGAGAGAGAGAGAGAGAGAGAGGGAGAGAGAGAGACATAGGTTCCATTTCCTGCATCATTCATTCTTATTGGTATAGGATGTGTCGATATATGGCATAGCTGTAGCATTTTTAACAGTAATTATTCTTAATTGTTCGATCATTATCAAATTAATTATTATTAAGATTAATTGTTTAATTGAGTATGCACGCGTGCCAACTGGCCATATTTGATAATTAATGAGCCCATTATCTTCCAGTGTTTGTAACTATACGTGATTCTTATGCAAAAACAAGTCTCCTTACGTAATAATAAGGACACCTTTATAATGAGGACATTTTGTAATGTCCCAATTGGTACAAGCCTATGCAAAAGTACCTCTGAAATGAGGACACCTCTGTATTAAGGACAGATAGTGTGGGCCCAATAGTGTCCTTAATAAAGAGGCTACACTGTACATGTATTAAGGACAGGTAGTGTGGGCCCAATGGTGTCCTTAATAAAGAGGCTACACTGTACATGTATTAAGGACAGGTAGTGTGGGCCCAATGGTGTCCTTAATAAAGAGGCTACACTGTACATGTATTAAGGACTGGTAGTGTGGGCCCAATGGTGTCCTTAATAAAGAGGCTACACTGTACATGTATTAAGGACAGGTAGTGTGGGCCCAATGGTGTCCTTGATAAAGGTAAAGGTATACCACAATCATCCATTCTTTCTTATTCACATAGTTGTAGCTTCTTAAACTCAATTAGCTTGTCTGTCCACTCTCTCGATCTACTACACCACCACCTGTACACGTCTCTTAATTAAATCTCATCAAAGCCTCTCTCTACTCTCTCACCTGCTGTCAGCCAATTACTAATTTTCACTATGAGACTCTAGTAACTGTGATGATAATGCTAATGATGTCGTCATGGCAACCTGGGTTGCCATAGAAACCACTAACTGAGAGAGAGAGAGAGAGAGAGAGAGAGAGAAGGGGAGATTCATATATATCCATATTTTTGGGAGAAGCTATTGCATGGTAATGAAACAATTGTATCAGTCACAAACAATGCTATAGAGTCACTTTTTATCTTCTAAAACACTCTATCCCTAACTATAAAAGATAAACAACAACAACAACAATAATAATAATAGCAATCATAAACCCCTTTATTTCACAATATGGTGACAATTCATGCTCTAACACTGAAAATATTGACGTAGACCTCTTGGTATTTGTACATACATGTACATGTATGTTGACTTTTCCTACTCATAACTCCATAACTGTATGTGTCATTCGTAATGATAAACACTTGTTGTCTTTTGAATGGTTTGTTTTTGTTTTGGCCCAGTTGTTGTTTGTACCATAAAAGATATGAAAGAACTCCTACCATACACATTATATGTACATGTACATGTATGTATGGGGGCGTAATGTGAACTGACGTAATGTATAACTTAAATGACGTTATTAGTATTGTAATGGATGGGGGGTTCCCCTCTCACGGTATTTCATGGTATGTCCATGTGTGGATGTTGTGTGTCGCTCATAACTTGGGAATTTGAGCTCAGAATCGGCTCAAACTTTTTATTTGACATAAGTACATTAATATGTATCAGAAAATGTAATAAAAATTTGGGGTGATTTCGGAGCCATTTTTTTAGGAAAAACCATGGGCTATAGCCTTGGGTAATTTTCAAAAATTGGCTTGTTTTTAAAAATGGTCATAACTTAAAAATTTGAGCTCGAAATCGACTCAAACTTTCTACACAGCATAAGTACATCAATATGCATCAAAAAATGTAATAAAAATTGGGTGTGATTTCGGAGTCATTTTTTGAGAAAAACTATGGGCTATAGTACAGGGCATTTTACTAGAAAACGGCCCATTTTTAAAAGTTGCCATAACTCGAAAAATTGAAGCTGGAATCAGCTCAAACTTCTTACACAGCATAAGGATATCAATTATAAACACCTTGTGACGTAAACACAGTTTCCAGTTCCCACAATAATTATACATAAACAGTACAAGTACATGTATACATGATATGTTATTATGCTTACTGGACAGTCTAATTACTTTCATGTATACTTGCAGAGGATGTGTGGAGAGGAAGTTTGAGCTGATCTCAGTGATTTAATAATGTCTTACATCAGCCATTGTACACCAATTGATTCCATTATCCTCTTGATTATACTCAATCCTTAAATGTGTACAATCTAGTAGTTCATTGTATTAATGTGAATTCCTATTGTACGTTATAAGTCATTCCATCATGACATACCTCACTACTACTGCATGCAAGGATATGATATCCCCTTGTCATGGTCATTATGACAGGGCAGTTACTCCACAATTACAATCTCATATCACATCCTTCTTTAATGTAATCAGTTTTTATAAGAGAAGTTAGTACACACATTGATCTCCATTGGTCACAATCAAGGAGAGTATGTCAATTGGACTTTGTGATTTGCTTAAGAAATTGATCATTTGAGTGACAATGCTTCACAGTTGTTTTATGAGTACAAAATTGGAGTACAAAAAGCGATCATTTTGATACAAAATCTGAACGAATTTGAGTCAAAATTGGAAGCAAATCTTTATCAAAAACCCTCTCTGTCTCTCTCTCCCTCCCTCCCCCTCTCCCTCTCTCTCTCTCTCTCTCTCTCTCTCTCTCTTTCTCTCTCTTTCTCTCTCTTTCTCTCTCTCTCTGTTTAATGACATTATTAAGTTTTGTCTATCTCCACACACGGCCACTCTAGATTCATAATATTTATACATTTTAATGATATTCACGGCCTCTTGTTTAAGTATTCTGATACCCCAAGGGAACAAGCCCAGCTCATCTCCTGTCTATTGCAATGTATGGAGTCCTTGCACAGCATTATTATTGTTATTATTATCAAGTACAGTTTATACATACCATACCCCCCGATTCATAAGAAAAGCAAATGATGGTTTTAGTAATAATAATAATTATCTTATTCGTAGAATTAATTATTATTTATTTGTTATTATTATTATTTATGCTAAATGGGTTTTGTTATGACATTGGGAATTTGCTGGTCACTCCATGAGAGGGTAAGAGAGAGCATAGCCAATACAAACCGATTGAACTACATGTGCATAGATTATAGATGTACAGTGTCCTCATTTCAAAAGTACTTTTGTATAGGCTTGTACCAATTGTGACATTACAAAATGTCCTCATTATAAAGGTGTCCTCATTATAAAGGTGTCCTTATTATAAAGGTGTCCTCATTATAAAGGTGTCCTTATTATAAAGGTGTCCTCATTATAAAGGTATCCTTATTATAAAGGTGTCCTCATTATAAAGGTGTCCTTATTATAGAAGCTACACTGTACATGTACATGTGTTTTTATATATATTTTTATTTCATTTCAGGCCATCACCTGGTTCAATAAAGCAATGGCTGCCCAGGACCAGTGGAAGAAAGTTCACCATCTTTGCTACTGGGAACTGAAGTGGTGCTATGTGTAAGAGAGAGAGAGAGGGAGAGAGAGAGGAAGAGAAAGGAGAGGGAGAGAGAGGAAACTGACTCAGTTTAAAAGGAAAGAGAGAGAGAATGCGACTTAACCTTTCGGTAATCACTCATCAATATTCGTGTGACTGTAAACTAAAGACTAAACTTGCAAAACGTGTTCGTGTACATCAAACTATTAGCAAGTGACAGAAGTAGATGTTTTGATGACTGCCAGCCCACGCTCACTGGGTATTGGTATACATGTACATGTACATCAGTTTGATGGGAAATAAACACAAACTGAAATTGGTTTTTCTTTCACTGTCTCGCAAGAAAATAATCTAAAATATTTTTTCTGTCTTTCCTTTTTTACTACCCCTGGACATTTTGTACCCTCTTATTCATTCTCTCTCTCTCTCTCTCTCTCTCTCTCTCTCTCTCTCTCTCTCTCTCTCTCTCTCTCTCTCTCCTCCCCTCTCTCTCTTTATCTCTCTCTCCTTACAAATACTGATGTACATGTATGTATATGTACATATATAGGTTTAAAGGTCAGTATGCTAAAGCCTCTCATTACGCAGACATATTATACAGAGAGAGCCGGTGGTCTAAAGTAATTTACACATACATCATGAATACAATTATGTAGATGTACATGTACATGTACGTGTACGTGTATACATGCTGTTACATTGTGATGGTGTTTGTGATGGTTCATGGCTATCAATACTGATAAGTGTGATCTTATGATGACATAACAGTATGCAGCACACTCACCACTAATAATGACTAATGATTTGTCACTATATCCTATATCTCAACCTTTGCATATTATTAATATACATATGCATTTCTCTTTATTATTATTATTATTATTATTATTATTATTATTATTATTATTATTATTATTATTATTATATGTATTTCTCTTTTTCTCTCTCTCTCTAGTCAACTTTCTTATATCAAAAAGCTGCTTTTCAGTTGATGCTTAGACACAAGAGCTACCTGCCGGAGCAGGTGGACACTAGCATTACCATGGCAACCGACTCTCAATGGGAAGAAATTATGAGGTAGAGAGAGAGAGAGAGAGAGA